CTCTCTCTCTCTCTCTCTCTCTCTCTCTCTCTCTCTCTCTCTCTCTCTCTCTCTCTCTCTCACACACACACACACACACACACACACACACAAATGGATGCTATTTTCAGAGGGATGACCTGCAATGCAAGCATGAACCTACAGCATCAGGAGAGGCAAGCAAATCTGGAAGACTGCAAGAAATTAAGCCCAGACCTGCATGAGGTTTTGGACACAGATTCTGCACCTTAGACTTATGCTCTTACTAAGAAGCCCATGGCCAAGGTGAAGAAAAAAGCTGGGTTTTGTAAAAGGAGTAGCAAGGACTGGATATGAGTTGGTCTATGCCTGCTTGGAATTCTAAGCCATATACAATTGAGCTGCTCCCCTTGGAGGGATTCTGCTTATCTCAAAGCATCCTCTTTTTTACACAACTGAAGCAGAGCTTGCTATCCCTACCCTTGCTGCTGGGCATTTACGCTACTTACTCCCGCACTTGGATGGCCTTACGGAGATTTCCAGACTCAAATTTGGAGAAGAATTTCAGACAGTCTTGGGCACCAGCATTTAAAGAGCTGAAAAACAAGATGCAACATGTTTACTGCACTGCTCAGCAGAAAGGAGATGCTACTCCATATGCCCACTAGGGAAATTAACAGAAGGTAGTTGGGAGTAACAGAATCACAACCAGGCTATAATTGCTTGGGTCCCCAGTAGATTGACTGTAAAACTCATGTTTTCCTTCTCCTGTTTCAACAAGGAATGCTCATACGGGCAAAGACAGTGTTGGATTGGATGTTTCAGCTCAGTATGGCAGAAACCAAGATGCTCACCAAAATTCTCCAGATTTCTTTTCATGCTTAGTGCAGCTCACTCTCATTCTCTTTTGTGACTTGATGCTTGTGTGTTTGTGTTCTGGCCAACTGAATTGCCTAAACTGACATTATTCAAAAGAGTACCCTCCACCCCACGCTGATGAGAACATGGAGATGCGATTAAAAGAAAAAGAAATAGTAACAGCCTGCATTTCTTAAGTTGTGCCTTAACTGCACTCTGACTCAAGTCAGAATTTTTTAAAAATGATGTTTTTGTTAAAGTATATATTTTAAAGTATGCATCACTTGAATACCAGGAAGTGGCTTCAGGCATGGCCGTCTTCTCCAGTGAGTCATGACTTCCCAAAGTCAGTTAAGGCATTTTTACTTCCAGGGCAAGTACTGGCTTGATCATGAGAGAAAGGATGCATGAAGCACAAAAGTCTTACACTTCCTGTTCCTCTCTGTCTCCAGCTTATGCAAATGAGGTATTTTGCATCATGCATATCTCTTGGGAAGTGTGGAGGCTTCCATTAGGCACATTGGGCACATCTCTCCACTGATGGAGCTTTGGAAGCAGAACAAACTTGATCTTGCTGTTCATGTTATGTTATCACAGGAACAGGCAGTGCTCTGAATAACGATTAACTCTATGTCCTGTCGTAGTCATCAAAACCAAGTCATCCCAAGTGTGTATTGGTGTGTTGGTATTGGTAACAAACAAACAAACAAAAAAGTGGTCAGAAAGGGAAAAACCGTAAAAGGTACATTCCCTCTGCTTAAATCAATCCACCCAAACTCAAACCCAAGGATATGGAGCTTTGGGAAGAAGGAGAAGAAAGGACCAGAGTAGTTGGTAGATGCACTGGATTTTGAGTGTCATAGATGAACATTCTATAAGACAGATGTGAGGAAGACTGGATTTTTTCCAAGTGTTCGGACAAACACTCAAAAACTCTCACTTATGTTTTGGACAAGCCATAGACCTCCAGCAAAACAAAACAAAACAAAAATGAGAAGGGTTACTAGAGAGCTTCCCAACACTGGGAAACTTGTTTCCTTGGAGATATGCCAGAGCTTGCTTTTTGAGCATCTATCTGCTCCTTGCACACTTTCCCCTGATTTGGTTCTCAGCAGCTACAAACCAAAGCCCCAGGAAGAAAAGTCAGCATTACCCAATTACATTCAGGTGATTCTCCTTACCTTAGGCATTGTTGCCTATGAATGGAGACATTAGAATAAAAGAGGCTAGAAATTTAAATTTAAATAAAATTAGCACTAAGATGAGGGGTTTTGATCTGACTCCCCATGACATTGACCTGAACTTAAATAAATAAATAAATAAATAAATAAATAACCTGGAGCCATCTAAGTCAAATACAACTTGATTGATTGTGTCACCTGGCTGGATGGCACGGAGGACATCTTCAAATATTTTAGACCTATGGTGAGAAAACAAGGCTTGAACCAATTAGTGAATATGCACACAAAGAAACCTCTCCTAATTAACTACCCTACCCATTAAGTATAGTCATCATCTGAAGGTCTCTTCCTCTCCTCCTCTAGGGGAGGTTTGGAGGATGGGAACAAGAGAGAAGGCCTTCTCAGTGGTTGGCCCCTGATTGTGGGATACTCTCTCCACTGAGGTCTGTCTGGCCCCAACACTGTCTTCCTTCTGGCATCAGGACAAGACTTCCTTAACTCCTAAGCATTTGGCAGCATATAATGCAGTTTGATTTAAAACAAAACAAAACAGGTCTATTTGTGTAAAGCTGCTTTACCCATTTGTAGGTGAGTAGCTTCATATTGTCTTGCATGAGCATTGTTGCATTGTTACCGTCTTAGTATTTGTAAGCATCTCAGAAAGGATTGACAATTGGATAGCGCAGAAGTGTGTCGAGTGAAAATAAAATTACTGAACATCTCTATATGGGCCCAGATTTTAAGAGCATGGTGCAACTCCCATCTACACTTCTTTTCAACAAGTGGAATCAGCATCAACTTGTTGCAGTGCAAAATGATTCCAATCAGGGCTCCAATCAGCTAGTCATGCCCTTCCAGGTAATGCCATTCCATTCCCTTTATATGTCCTTCCCTTAAGCAATATTCCATGTTCTGAAGTGGCAGAACAGGCTCAGTCCTCACCAGATGGAGGAGGATTAGTGCCTCCCCACCCCACAATACTTCTGCAACACTTACAGCGCCAACTAGCACATAATCTCGTTTTTTTAGTGCTGCTGTTTGACTACGCATCCATCAGTACTCACTAGCCTGGTTTGCTATTAGCAAGAAAAATACCCCTTTCCTTTCTCCCCAGTGATGCTGCATAGCCTGGGGGCAGGGGGGGTCTTCTACTCCCCTGTCTTAGGGACGTGTGAAGCAGCAAAGTTCAGAATCAAAGATTATATGAACATTGCCTTGCCATTCATTTCTTGGCTGATTCTCACCACTTTTGCTGTCTGAAGGGGGGACTTAGGCAGACTGAGCAGCAATCAAATAGGAGATTTGTTTAATTTTTCCAAATTTGTGCAGAATTCCTCTATGGAATAAGCCCAAGCTGGTTCATTCAACTGTGGGGATTTGCACAAACAGAACTGGGATTTGGGAATATAGGGAACGCAAGAGAAATGCTTGTACTCATGTTTGGAGAGTCAAAGAGGCCATGCCTGCAGGTTTACAAGCAAGGCCAAAGGTCTCATACATCCCTCCCCTACTGTGATAACCGAATATGGCAGAATAATGACTTACCTTTGGACACTAGATCTCCTTTGCTGTATGGACTGGCTATAAGGAGGAGGCAGATGGCCCCAGAGATCTGGGAAGGCCAACACTCTGTAGTCTGGAATTGACTGGGTGCAGCCAGCTCTTGCCATGTAGAAGTGGGGGTTGTGGAAAGGGAGATTCCGTGGGTGCCTCTCCAAAAGCTTTTTCACTATCTCAGAAGCCTCCACTGTCTCCTGGCAAACAGGCTTGCAGAAATGCATGTTCTGAGGTTGGCTGGTCCTTTTGTCTTTGGCATGGAGGTGAAGAGAAGCGGCACAGCTCTTGTCTGGGATGTCACCTTCTTGGATGGAATTCACTGCAGCCTTTAATCCAGCCTGAACCACTTTTCCAGGTTCTTGAAAAGGTTTTCCTTGTTTCACCAAGCTCTGGACTGGAACCCTCAAAGACTCCTGTTGGGGTGATTTTTCTCCTTCTTCATGGAAACTCTCATTGCATTTGGGCTGATGATTTGGGGACGCAATATTTGGAATGAGGTGGAGACAGGAATATGTCAAGGTCCCAGGGATGTCCTCAAAGTTCATTTTATTCTCAGACTCTGCTTCTAATTCCTTTGTAAGATTTGGGGGAGAACAGAGAGGGAGGGAGGGAGGGAGAGAAGAACAAACTGATATGTTTCCTTCCAAATTGGGACAAGATTTGCATGGAATTGTTTTAAAGAATCATAACCCACAAGAGTCTTACCAGAAAGTTACAGTGAAGTTCTAGACACATGGCCTCATATTGTTGAAGTTCTGATTCTGGCCAGTTGAGCTCTGGTTTTGACAGGAGCTTGTCAACATCTGTCTCTAAGTCATCATCCTATCAGAGTAAGACACAGAAAACATTAAAGAATCTCCATCTGTGCCAACTCCATTTTTGGGAGTGAGACATCATCAATGGGCCACCTCCCTCAATGAGTCTACCATGGTCACCAGCTGCTGCTACCCCTCCTCCTCTTCCTCACCAATGCCTGCACACAAGTCATCAGTGGCACCTACTGCTCCTCATTCTCACCACCAGCACCATTATCTAGGCCAGAAGAAGAAGGAGACCAGCAGAGCTTGGGGGAGATGAAGAACAGCTGCAATGGCAGTGGGTTTTTTGGCAGTGGGTCTCTGTTGGGTATGAAGGAACATGATGGGCTCCTGACCATGCCTTCCCTTGACACTGGCCCAGGCCACATCCACAGCCAGGCTGAAGGCTATCCCATAGTATTTCAAATTCCAACATTATATAGGTATGTATAAGAAATTCATTTCAGTTCCTTTTTAATCACAGGTTCACAGCTTCTGGTTCTAGGTCCACAGCTTCTGGTTCAAACACAGATGCATCATCTGTGGTCAAAATCCAAGCATTTCTACATTGCAGTGCAATTCACAAACCAAGGGCACTGTGTTCAGCTCAAGCACACAAGTGAAAATTGAGCATAAAAATGCATGCCTTTGAAAAGGACAGGCAGAAATTCTTTAATCAAGAGAAGAAAAACATGCACATTTCAGAGATGTGCGCAATTGAACAAATATGCCCCAAATGCAAAGATTTTTATGTCAAACAGAAAGAACAGCCCATCTCACAATCTAGAGATCAGAGAACTTCAGTAATCTGAAGTTTTGCTGAAATGCACAACACCACCAGTACAACAATGCAAAAAAATTAAAATTGATAAAATGCAATAAAACAATGAGACCAGTTTCTTGGACGATCCATTTAGAAGGAGGGAACATGTGTACGGAGGCACACAAGCTTCCTATTACATCTATTTCTGGAGGATGTGCATTTGCTGTTATTATGAGGCATTTAGAAAGGAATGCAGAACAAGTTGAGCTCCCTCCCCTCCCTCCGTGGAACACCTGCTGCGCCGTGCTGCGCCGCACCACCGCTGCAGCTGCTGCCGCCATCACCACACTGGACCTGAGGTGCACCACCAAGCCGGAGGTCAGCTGATGCCACTTCCGTGGCCACTGCTGGGCTACCCCGGGGACGGAGAACGCCAGGGCCACGCCAGGGCCACGTCAGGGCCGCCGCCAACAGTGTGGAGGAGGGTGCCACCATCTTGCCGCCTGGAGGGTTTCCGCGCCCATCTCTGCTCCCCCCCTGCCGTCGTCGGTGAGAGCAACACCAGATTGGGGGTGGAGCATGCAGGCGGGCACTGGCTTAACCCGCCGGACGTGGCCTGGGGCTGGGCTGGATCTGAGCTCCCTCCCCTCCCTCCCTGGAACACCTGCTGTGCCATGCTGTGCTGCCGCCGCTGCTGCCACTGTCGCCACACCGGACCTGAGGTGCGTTGCCGAGCCGGAGGCCAGCTGATGCTGCTCCCGTGGCCACCACTGGGCCACCCTGGGGACGGAGGACGCCAGGGCCACGCCAGGGCCACTGCCGATGGTGCGGAGGAGGGCACCGCCATCTTGCCACCTGGCTGGTTTCCGCACCCCTCTCTGCTCCACCCCCACCAGCGTCGGTGAGAGCAACGCCGGATTGGGGTGGGGTGCACGCGCGGGTGCCGGCTTAACCCGCCGGATGCGACCTGGAGCCAGCGGCCTCTGGCCGGTGGCCAAAGGGCAACGGCCAAAGGACAGTCGCCGCCATTTGTGGCCGTTTGTGGCCATGCAGGGCTGGGCTGGCGACGGGCTAGGTCAGTAGGTGGAATTTTGTATCGGGGGGGCAGACGGGGAGTTTTATATTGTTTTAAAGTTTTAAAGTTTTATTGTATTTTAATTTGTTTTGATGGAGTCATCCCTGGCCATGTCGACGGTTGAGTTACCTGGGGAGCGCATGGGCGCCGCCATTGGGGTGGTCACGGGCAATGGACATTACAGCGGTGGGGGCTTAACGTGCCCGCGTAGAAGAAGGAGGGACAGATGGCTGACACTTGTCCCTCCTTCTGGTTCTACCCCCAGCCAGAGGGTTCCAGGTAGTCTTGTCAACTGCCCCTTGGGCCTGACAGTGCTGCTGCTTAATGCCAGGTTGGTCCACAATAAATCTTCCCTCATCCATGACTTGATTGTGGATGAGGGGGCCAACCTGGCTTGCATAACAGAGACCTGGGAGGGGGGGATGTCACCCTCTCTCAAATGTGCCCGCCCGGGTATCTGGTTCAGCACCGTCCATGCCTGGAGGGGAGGGGAGGGGGGGTCGCTTTGGTTTACCGAGCCTCCATCTCCCTCGCGGGACTTCCGGTCCCTTCGAGGCCAGGGCTGGAGTGCCTCTACTTAGTGTTGGGCAACCAAGACAGATTGGGGATTCTGTTGGTGTACCGTGTACCCTTCTGCCCAACAGACTCCCTGCCTGAGCTGACGGAGATCATCTCGGACCTTGTGCTGAGGACCCCCAGGATGTTGGTTCTGGGGGACTTCAATCTCCATGCCGAGACTGGTCTGACCGGGGCGGCTCAGGACTTCATGGCCTCCATGACGGCCATGGGGCTGTCTCAACATGTCACAGGCCCAACCCATGAACGTGGACACACTCTGGACCTGGTTTTCTCGACAGGGCAGGAAGAGGGTGGTCTGAGGGTGAAGAATTTATGTCTGACACCCCTGTCATGGTCAGATCACTTCCTCGTGAGGTTTGTGCTTGAGAGCAGCCTCTCCCTCTGTAAGGGTGTGGACCCGATTGTGTGGGTCCGTCCCCGGAGCCAGATAGATCCAGACAGATTCCTGAAGGCTCTGGGGGAGTTTCCGGCTGACAAGACTGGTGCTCCTGTCGAGGTTCGGGTCAAACTATGGAATGGGGAGATGACTAGGGCTGTTGACACGATCACTCCAAAGGGTGCTCTCCTGCCTGGCATAGCCCACTCTTCCCCTTGGTATACATCTGAATTGAGGGTGATGAAGCAGGCCGGGAGACGGCTAGAGTATAGGTGGAGGAGATCACGGGATGAATCTGACCAAACACACTTAAGAGCCCATTATTAGGTCTATGCTGTGGTGGTAAGGGCGGCGAAAAAGAAATTCTTTTCCGTTTCCATTGCCTCCTCAAAATGCCATCCGGCGGAGGTTTTTTGGGTGGTAAAAGGACTGGTCTGTCCTGGCCCTAAGAAAGATCTGGTTCCACCCTCGAAGGCCCACTGTGACGACTTTGCCAAGCATTTCAGGGAGAAAATCGCTCAGGTTCGTCACAAGCTAGACTCTACTAGTGACTCAGAGGCTTCTGGGAAGATACCAATGTCGCCGTCTGGTCCAAAATTAATGGATGAATTTCAGTTATTGTGGCCTGATGATGTGGACAAGGTGCTTGGACGAGTACGTCCCACCACTTGCCTATTGGACCCTTGCCCATCTTGGTTAATAAACAATGCCAAGCATGGGATTGGGACCTGGATCTTGGAAGTGGCTAACGCTTCTCTGAGGGAGGGTCGGGTACCTGTCCCTTTAAAGGAGGCGGTAGTCCAACCGGTCCTGAAGAAAGCGTCACTGGATCCAGAGATGGCCACTAATTATAGACCAGTGGCCAACATCCCGTTTCTGGGCAAGGTGTTGGAGCGGGTGGTGGCGAGACAACTCCAAGCACTCTTGGATGAAACTGATTATCTGGACCCATTTCAGTCCAGCTTCAGACCCGGGTACGGTACTGAATCTGCCTTGGTTGCTCTGTACGATGACCTGTGCAGGGAGAAGGACAGGGGGAGTGCGTCCCTGTTGGTTCTTCTGGACCTTTCAGCGGCTTTCGATACCATCAACCATGGTATCCTTCTGGATAGGCTAGCGGGATTGGGGCTCGGAGGAACTGCTTTGCAGTGATTCCACTCCTATCTCAATGGCCGATTCCAGAAGGTGGTGCTGGGGGACTATGGCTCTGCGCCATGGCAGCTATGCCATGGAGTACCGCAGGGATCCATTTTGTCCCCTTTGCTGTTTAACATCTACATGAAACCGCTGGGAGAGGTCATCAGGAGGTGTGGGCTGTGGAATCATCAGTACGCTGATGATACCCAGCTCTACCTCTTGTTTTCCACCAATCCAGGTGAGGCAGCGGCTGTGCTGAACCAGTGCCTGGCTGAGGTAATGGGCTGGATGAGGGCCAATAAACTGAAGCTCAATCCAGACAAGACGGAGGTCCTGTTGGTTGGTGGATCGGGCTTCGGAGAGGGTGAATTGAACCTTGTCCTGAACGGGGTTGCACTCCCTCTTAGGGACAAGGTGTGCAGCTTGGGAGTGCTCCTCGACCCAGAGCTTCCACTGGAAGCTCAGGTGACAGCGGTGGCGAGGAGCGCTTTCTTTCAGCTTCAGCTGATCCATCAGCTGCACCCCTACCTGGAGAACGACTGCCTGGCGACAGTGACACACGCATTGGTGGCTTCCTGACTTGACTTCTGTAACACGCTCTACATGGGGCTGCCCTTGAAGATGGTCCAGATACTTCAATTGGTTCAAAATAGAGCTGCCAGGCTGCTGACGGGGACTGGGCGTTATGTTCACATGACTCCAGTTCTCCGTCAGCTTCATTGGCTTCCCATTGAAGACCGGGCCCAATTCAAGGTGTTGGTGATGACCTATAAAGCCCTTAACAGCTTGGGTCCTGGTTACCTGAAGGAGCGCTTACGTCCATATATGCCCACCCACCCCTTGAGATCAGTGGGAGAGGCCCTTCTCCGGGAACCCTCCATGAAGGAAATTAGGAGGGTAAGTACTCGGAGGAGGGCTTTCTCTGTGGTGGTGCCCAATCTATGGAATGTGCTCCCCAGAGAGGTCCGCCTGGCACTGTTGTTATTTGTTTTTCGGCGCCAGGTGAAGACCTTTTTATTCAAACGTTATTTTAATTGTTAATATTATTTATTTATTTTATTCTTTGGCCAGGGCGACTTAATTTATATTGTTTTATAGGATGTTATTTATTTATCTTTGTGAGCCGCCCTGAGGCTTCGGCGAATGGGGCAGCATAGAAGTTCCCTAAATAAATAAATAAAGTTAAAACTTCATATCCTTGTATTGAAGTCTTTATAGTGTGATGTTGTACATGACTCATTAAAGTACACATGTAGAGGCTGCAGGCTTGCTTTTTACTGCTAAGATTTCACTCTTTTTCCAACATGCAGAGCAGGGTGGCATATACAAAGTTGCCAGGTAGTCCCCCATACAGGTGCTGACCAGATTAATTTCAGCATAGCCTCAAAGGTCCCAACCCTGCCCATATGCTCAAGGCATGTGCCTCCTCCTCCAAATACACATGAATGGCATGCCTGTAATGTATTTTTCACACACACACATATGCATTCCCCAAGCACAGAGAAACATACAACATAGAAACAGAAACTGAGCGAGTCAGAAAGGGTCTCCCAGGCCATCTAGTCTGACCTCCAGCTCCAGCAGGATCTGCTCATGACATGCCTACCATGTGCATGTCCAGCCTAGCCTTGAACACCCTCACCGATGGGGCTTCAACCACCTCCTCCCTAACCCATTCCATACCCTCACGGTTGGGAAGTGCTTCCTGGCATCCAAATTGAACCTTGGTTCCTTGAGCTTGGCTCCATTGCAGCACGTACTTCCTCTGCAGGGGGGAACAGGTCTCTACCCGAGTTCAAAGCAGCTTTGTGAAAGACAATTTCCTTTCCATGAGAGTTTTGAACAAATTTAAACATGCCTTAACTGTGCATTTTTTAAAGGTGGGTGGGATGAGCCTTACAAGCTATGCAGGCTCCCTGCATAGCTCATAAGGCTCATCCCACCCACCTTTAAAGAATCCAGATCCCTCCTCTCCCAGATCCCTCCTCTCCCAGGCTTCCAAACAATGCCACTGAATCACCCAACCACTTAAGAACTTGTAACTCACTACAGAGTACATTCTTATCCATTTCTTTTATTATTAACTGCCCTTCTTTCAAAGAGCCCTGGGCAAAAACACAGGGATGGTCTATCCTATATCCATGCAGCAATTTGATTTTAGGCGGGGAGATAGCAAGTGCCCCAAGGCACTCCTCAATTCCCATAGGTAGAGAAGGATTCGAACCTGGATTACATGGCATGGCATGGACCCACCCAGACCATCTTCCCTGTCTTGCCAGGTAATCCCATTGAACTAGAGAGACTGCAAACACCCTTGAAATCTATGCAGATTTATAGAAAGCCTTTCAGCTTCCCCTGAGATCCCTTGGGTATCCTATTGGAGAAGGGACGTCCAACTTGTGCTTCAGATGACACATGTGATGACACATGATTGCATGTATAAGGAAGTACCCTAACGGCACAGTTTCAGTTGGACTCTTCATTCATGGTAGGGCACACGGGAGTGTAAAAGGGAGAAACCACAACCCATCCATTGCTTGGTTGGTCACTAGGTTATGGACATAGTTGTCATTACTACTACTATGCCACCTTTTGCTCCTGCAAGGAACCCAAGGCAACTTTCACAGTATCCCTCCTTTCCATTTGATCTTCCCAATTGGCATTTAAAAAAGCAGTGACTAGTCCAAAGTGACCAGGGAGCTTTATAATCTCATGGGGACCACAACCCAGATCTCCCCAGGCCCAGTCCAGTCCTCTAATCACAATCCAACTCCTGCTTTGCCCCTGGATCAGTCCATGCCATCTCATGTTCCGAGTGCAAATCTGATTCTTTGGCCATAACAGAACCAGTTTAACAAAGGGAATATCAGGTAAAAGAGGATATGAACACCACCAAGTGAGGGCTAGATGAGCAAAATCACCTTCCTAGCATAAGGCATACTCTTCTTGTGAAAAGCCACCCTTTGCCTAAGGACTGCACACTGTACCAATCTGCTCGAAACTGTTTTTGTATATTCTTAATCAAATTTCTCTTTGCTGTCCCTCCAAAGCCCCAAGTAGCCTCGAGATCCAAACTTCTCTTTGGTGTCACATTTGCGTCATTAAATCTCCTAGCATCAATCTGTCGTGTCTGTCTGATGTCAAATCAAGCAGGTTGTCAAAGAGTAACACAGTCTGTGCCCTTACAAGCAATAAAGAAAAGACCTGCTGAATTAGACCAAAGGCCTACCTGATACTCCAGCATTCAGTTCACCAAGTGGCCAGCCAGTGTCTCATAAGACCCTGTGGCCATATACAGTGGCAATCTCTCCAGGAGATTGGTCATACAGGTACATACTGCAAGCCACTGAGAACCTGCAGCTGGAGGAAATGCTTCACAACCCTGATGTCTTAGACACTAAGTCAACACTAAGCATGCTGAGGGCCTATACTCCAGCAAGGGCCCCTGACAAGAGCTCCCTGGAGTTGCTCCTTGTCTTCCCCATTGCAATCTGCTTGTCATCTTCTTCTCTCTCCAGGCCAAAGAATGGTGGTGATGAAAAGGGGAGCCTCAAATGCCCCCCACCAACTTACTCTTTGTCTGTTGAATAAACAAGTGGCGACAATGAGAAGAAAGCCGATGAGGGGCTGCTGACAACAGTGGTGAGAAGGTGAGCACACAGAGAGACGTGGCCCAGGGACAGTATCATGCTCTCCAAACCCTGTGGTCAGCAGTGTATATATAGCTTCCAGCTGTTTAGTGGATCCATCTTCAGTTCATCCTTCAACTTGTTTATTTTTGGATGCAAAGTTTTCCATAAACTGGAACGCCAAAGCTTGACTGTGAATGGGTGATCCATATGTATCAGCTATGAAGAGTCAAACATTCATCATGTGGAGTGTGGCTACCTATTGATGTATATATATCCTGCCTTTATTCCATGGAGCTTAAGGCATGCTTTTCCCCCTACCCTGCATTTTATTCTGACACAACCCAGGGAGGTAGGCTAGGCTCAGAGATGCCAACTGGCCCAAGGTCATCCAGTAAACTTTATGGCCAACTTATGCTCCCACTCACTGTTTGACAAGGACAGGTCAGTTGGTACCATGTTGATATGTGGGCCTACAGCTCCCATAAACCCCAGCCCAAATGGCCAGTGATTAGGGATTATGGGAGTTGTTCTCCAAACTTTCTAAGGGCACCAGGTTGTCTGTCCCTCCTCTAACCACTGCACTACATGGTTCTTAGACAGCAAACTGCAGATGACTCATCCTTCTTCTCACATCTGTTCAATATGACAGTTTGGCACTGAACTGCAAACAGTACTTACCTCTTCCTTATTCCCTGCATCTTCATTATCAAAGTCCTTCTCAATTTCCTCCTCAAAATCCAATTCGCAAACATCTATAAGGAATTATAAAGAGAGATTGAGACATTGACTCAGCTCACCAACTCAGCAATGGCCAAACTATGCAAGGAGGTCCAGCCCTTCTACATTTGGTCACCCTGCCAAGCGAGAGCTTTTCCACACATGGATTCTCAGCATGTGACAGTCATCAATGTGGGCTCATCCTTTTAAGTATCTTTTCAAAAGTTGCAGTGGGTGGATACATATCAACAGGGATAAGGTGATAACTTATCTTGCACTGAGCCACTAGGTAAACTGCTCAAATGTCAGGCTGTTTGGCTTTCCTGCAGAATTTCAAAAATGGGTTCCAATTTAATATAGAATTCTTAGAGCTAGAGTTCGGACCAATGGAGTCTTGTCCAAGTTTTTTCTTCTTGAGGGCAGTACTAGCAGGGATTCCTACTTCTGTATTGATTTTTTATCTATGTTTGGAACCCCGATGTGCTGGACAAAACCCTAACCCTAATATTCATTGATTTGTGCATAAAGCGCTAGAAGATAAGTTTATACTCTATGCTGTTGCTCTTTATTGTTTATTTTTGAACAAGTTCCAGTCTTGTTTCTGACAGTTAATAATTTTGGACATTTATTCAGTTGTTCAAAGCCAGGGTCAAAGCCAGAACTCCGGTCTATTGGAGGTAATGCACCCAAGCTGTGTAATTTACTTGGCAATTTAGACTCTGCACTGACTTCTTGTGAGTCATGCCACAAATGATTTTGAGTTAATGATTTTGAGATCTCAGGTGACTTTGACAGATGGGTATCTATAAAATTAAGTAAATGCATGTAAAATTTATGTAATATCTTGAATTGTCTTGTTTGAGATTTATCCCTTTATTTTCAGAAGTTAAATGCTTTTTGCATGAATTATTATGGGGTTCACTCCACCATGAATATGCTTGAAAAGGATATCCTTGAAAAATACCCTTGCAATCAGAAAAGGTAGATTGGGCCTCCCTGACCTTTCTTTACACCATTGGGCCTACTTGTTGGCTTATACTTAATGTTGAAATTTTCCACTTAATTTATATTCCTTTCCCTGGTTTGTGTTGGAATCTTCACTTTTGGATTGCTCTGGGCTCTTGCCATACCAAAGAAGATAATAACCCCCTCCAGTTGTGGGAGCTAGAGAACAGTTTAACATATTCTCACAAGCAAAATTAACCTTATGGGGAAAGCTGGATGTAAAAATAGGCGAGAAAAATGGCAGACTTGGATGCACAGAATGAATTTTATTTTGGATCAGCTTCTCGGTATTGATGATACCTTTTTGCCATGGCAATGCATGCCGTTGAAATGTTTGTTAGACTCTAGGTTTGGTCCTATCCCTTTGGCAGCTTCAGAGTTGTCATTGGAAGTAGTGACTGAAACCAAACATCACAATGGCCAAAAATTTATATTTATAAATATTTAATAACAGTGACTAAATATGATCTACAGGGTCTCAGCCAAGAATGGAATAATGAGCTGGACTACCTCTTATTGCCCAGCCAATGGAACAAATCATTATTAGCTATTTCACGAGGCATTATGGGTCTCAGGCTATGCTTAATTCAGTAAAAATTGATGTTTTGAGTAACTGTAATGCCACAACGGGACTGCAGGTGGCAACCACTGTGCTGCTGGGCTGGTTGATTGAAAGGTCACCAGTTTGAATCTGTACAATGGAGTGAGTTCCCGTTGCTCTGTCAAGGCTCCTGCCAACCTTGCAGTTCAAAAGCATGCAAATGCAAGTAGATAAAAAGGTACCACTTCGGTGGGAAGGTAACAGCGTTCCGTGCACCTCAGTGTTTAGTCATGCCGGCCACATGACCACGGAGACTGTCTGCGGACAAACGCTGGCTCCCTCGGCTAGGAAAAGGAGGTGAGCACTGCCCCCTAGAGTCAGGCATGACTGGACTTAATGTCAAGGGGAAACATTTACCTTTACCTAATGCCACAACATCTCTTTCATAAGGGTTTAATTAAATTGGTCAACTGTTAGAGGTGCAGTGCAGCTAATCTCTCTGTTATTCATATGTTTCAGCAATTTCCAGGGGCATCTTCCTTTTGGGCAGAGGTATTAATTTAGATAAATCTTGTGATGGAAAGCTCATTAATATTTAAATATACACATGGTCTTTCAGTCACCTACCCATCTCTTGGAACCTAACATAAGGCCAATGTAAATATTCTGCACCCTCTTGACAGCTAAAAGACTAACATTGCAACATTGGAAGGATAAACAGCCACCACAGTAACACAATGGATGTAGGAGTTAATGAAACTTCTGATTTTTGAATGGGTGGCCTTCAGGTGTAACTTATACATGGATACATGGATGGATATTTGGGGTTGAAGCATATGCAACATTGCTGTTAATCATGTTGTATGTGCTGTTATATATTACCATACAGGGACACTCAGAATAAATGTAACCAGTACATTGGAACTTTTCCTTCTCTTGAATATTGTTCAAATATTGTAATTTCATTTCTTCTTCCTTTTATGCTGTGGTTTGATTTTTTTATTGCACAATAAGAATAAATAATAAACATTGTGACAAGAAAGTAAATGAGCTTGCTATTGAGAGGTCTGAATTACCCTTGGGTTGCAGTTGCCTTTGGGAGATGAAAGGCTACCATGCCAAGGACATGCCACTGTTTTCCAGGAACTGTCCCTGGGGGCACTTCCTCCCCATGATCAGTTGGTAAGCAAATGGATACTAGATGCCAGTAATGTCCTTTCAGGACAATGGCCTGCCCGCATTTAATCGCCCATCCCTAAACTGCCTAACATATTCCCTGGAAAGGTAGGAAAAAACAAACAACATAAAATGTATCTCTGAGAAGTTTTATTGCAGACAAGTCCAGGTGGAATTAGTGCTCAGTGCAACCTCTCCTGCTCATTTCATGGATCTTGTGTGAAAGAGCTGTTAGCGAATTGTGCCCTGGTTGTTCCTGTGGCTCTCTTCTTTGTCCTGCTTTTACCATCATTGTCTCCTTCCCCTCCTTTCCTTCTCCATATTTCTTCTTTTCTAGCTTATGCCATGGTGCCTTTAGCACAAGCAGCAAGAAGAATCAATTCTAATAATTGGGACTTGCAACTAGGAATATATGGATTTTGTTAAAACCATTTCCATCCATGCTTCATGGGTTGCCAGGGTCCTTTTCTTCCACCATCCCCACATGGATAAAATCAGATTTTTTAAAAAAGCAGAATTTAGTTTTACTTGCACTAATGTGCATTAGCACAAATCTCCCCACCCACCCCACACACATACACAACTGGTCCTCAAATCCATGGCATCTTTGTGGCCAGAGAAAAGCCAGCCTGCTGTAGAAAGTCTAGATCCATTTCATAGAAAACCAAGTCCATCTCAATCTATTGTGAACTTGTTCAATGTCCTTACATGCAATAACATGTTGCAGAATGGAGCATCACTCTTCAGGATTCGTCCCACTCCGTTCTGGCCTTCTTTCACCTGATTTTCTGTCCATCCCCAGATAATTGGCACTGCTCATTCTTCTTCAGCTGTTCTAAGAGGTAGATTTTCATCTCCCCCTTGGGATTGTTTGCTAACTATTTCTTATACTGCAAACCTTGCAGTTCCCCCAAGCCTGATAACACCTCTTCTTGCAAAGGGGTAAAGTCACTACATAAGTAACAGCACTCACTGCCATAACACTGGAAAGATTGGGAATTATATCCTTTTACTTTTCTCTTCCCAAGGAATACTTTGCATGATTTACCTTCAGGCCTCTGGTGTGAAGGTTCAGTTCTCCCAGGGATGGGGAAGGAATAGGCACTTCTAAGAGCAGCAGAGGGAAGCAATTCTTTGGGAGACGTTTTCCTCAGAATCTGAATCACTGTGTTAACAATTGGATCCAAGCTCTTACTCATCAGACAGTCCTAAAGAAGAGGATTCAGAATGTTGTTTTCCTCTGCAACGAACCCTCAAACCATTTAGTATTATTAATTATTTCATTTCTATACCACACTTAGCCAAAGCTCTCTGGGCTGTTTACAACAATCCATAAAACAAGACCATAAAATGCAATGCAAAATAAGGACTATAAGACTATAATAATAGAAATCAGATAGCATAAAACTATCATAAAATCAGAGAAGCATTAGAAAGTTTAAAAACAGCTATCACAACAGAGAATGATTCTGTTAAGAAAAAGGAGCCCCTGGGTTTCCAGTTAGATCCTTAAAGTCCTGCATATAAAGAGCTGTTTAAACTTGGCACCAGAAGTATGGCAAGGTTGGTGCAAAGCGGACTGCAGCAGGGAGGGCATTCCTTGCATGGGAGGCCACCGCAAAGAAAGCCCTCCCCCTTTTTCCCACCCTCCAGGCGTCCCTTGGAAATGGCACTCAGAGGAAGGTCCTGGAGGCTTAGTCTCCCATCTGAGTAGGTCATGGTCAGTAGACGCTCTCCGACAGGCACTGAACATGATGTGCAAGGATTTCTGTCATGCCATGAGATCCTAAGCATGTTTTCTTATAAGTAAATTCCCAAGCACAGCCTATCAGTCCAGTGCCTGAGGGAAACCTGAATGGCTTGCTGAAATTCACACTATTTTCACATTTGGTGGGGCAAGGGGGCTCCCATGGGGATGCTCTCTGCCCACTGCAGAGGCTAAGACAATGAGAACTTAAAAAGCCATTAAACACAGCCCAGCATCATGCAAAATTTTGTTGTTGTTGTTCATGTCTTTGTTTCATTGTTCCATTCATTTCTACCAGAAAAACCCTGATTGCTTCTTTAATTCATTCATTGTCATTCTTATTGGTCTCCTTGCCCAATGTAGTGATTAGCTCTTTTATCCCCTAAAGTCATTTAAAAATTCTGGGAGCATCAAGAAGATTGGACCTTGACTGGTTTTGAGCGGCTGTAACTGCACCTTGCATTTCATGAATTGCCTAGCATAATTTATCATAAAACCTGTCCAAGCTGGTTCTATGTTGGTTTCTCAGAACTCTGCTGGAGAAGAGAGTCAGAAATGAACCAACACAAGTTGCTCCTGCATACCTGGGAGCAAGGCTGTCAAGACAGCAGCACCAGATAATGCCATGAGGATGCAAGGTTTTCTCAGGTTCCTTTGCACAATCTTCTGGTTTTATTTTGTCCTGCCTTCCATGCCTCCTGACAATCTAGGACACTTTCCGAAATTAATTCTCAAAATTAGAACTCACCCCATTTTGCTGCAACATAGACTTAGTTTGCATCTGCCAGGAACTGCAGGATCTGCCACTACTCTGCATGGTGAACCACTGTAGGCAGCAGGCTTAGCAGTGAGGAACCTTCTGGCACTGGACTAAGTGTGTTGTGCGTGTTGTGAGTGAACCAGCCACCACCTCCCACAGCCATCAGGACTTGGATTCTGAGGAAGATGACCTGGGAGCACTCAGAGACACTGCTCACAGGTTCCCAGGCTGACTGGGAGAGCAGAGATGCTTTGGGAAAGAAGGGCAGGAGGGAGAGACGCTGCCTTGCCCATCTAGTTGGAGGGCTTGTGTAGGTCTTGCCAGCTGGCCCTTCACCACTGGGACCCACTCCGAGGTGGAGCCCACGGAGTTGCCAAAAGGGAAGGCTTTGAGGGAAAAGTTTCCAGTTGGAGGTCAACTTTCTTGACATGAGCAGAGGCTAATCTTCCAAAGTCCTTAGAGGGCTTTTAGAGTTGCTTTGTCTTGTAGCCAATACATATCTGCCTTGCAAAGAGGCTGTCCGGTGTTTTGGGGCCTAAGGACAAGAAGGGAAGGGTGGAGCTCCTTGGCACCTTTCCTCTCCCCCCTCTACATGATTATGCTCTACCACACCAGCCTCTGATGTCACCACACTTTCTGAGTTCTGTTGCACCACATGCGCTCCTGTACATTGCCCAAAACAAAAGAGGCTTCCTTTTTATGCAGCCTTATGTGACGTTGCCTGTGAACTTTCTGCCTGAGAGGCAGAGCGCAAGATCTTGGTGAAGGCACTGGGACTGTCAGATGGGGAAACTCAACAAAATTATCAAAGAAGAGAAGAGAGGTAATCTGCCAAGTGATCTGTTATCAGGAGCAGCAGAGAGAACAGGTGGATTACAGGGGGCTGGCAGATTTATCATTTACAGATTCATCTTCTTCTCAAGGATACTTCTTAACTGTTCTTTTCCTTTGTTCCTATGCTTTGTATTCTCCTGCATGTTAATTTGTATGAGCACATTTTTATTCCTCTTTCCCCAACAATAGGGAGCATTGTTCAATGGCAGAACACATGCTCTGCATATAGAAGGGTCAGGCTCAGCCTCCAGGTATGGCCAGGAAGGAATCCTGCCTGAAAACCAGAGGGAGATGCTTCCATAGTCAGGAGTACAAGGCTAACAGTGCTACCAATGGTCAGACTCTATATAAGGCCCGTCTTGCTAAGTATTTCACCTCTGTTCTTATAAATGGGCCAATTATGCAATTATTCCAAGCTTCATGCTGCATTACATCAATTTGGGCAGGAAGATCAAATTCAGCCTGTTATTGATGTGAAACTGTGAGTAATGCATCAAAGCAGGGTCACACGTCCATCCATCCCCATCAGGACTTCTATTTTGTTACTTATTTTGCAATGTTTTATTCACGTTCAATATGCGCATCAGCAACATGGAATGAGGACAGAGAGAAAGGAATCAAAAGCTCCAGTAAATTCAATTTTATAAAAAAATGGAACAAAGAGGAATCCTTAATGTGTTGGTTCCATTTTAGAAAGAAGCTCTAATAATTCAGAACTTGGCAATTTAGGAAGAAATCCAGATGAGGCAAATTTTAGATGAATTCCCTTCCTTTATTTCTTTGCTGAGCACAAGCCTCGCTGTTCCTCTTCTTACAAATTAAAAAGCCCCATCCCAAGAGCCAGTGACCTCTGTGACAAGGGCGGCATTTGTAACCTTTTAAATGTGCAGCATTCCCTATTCTTGAAGGTTTTGCTGCTAGAGCTCACATCCGGCAATCTCCAGAGAGAAGAAAACAGAGTAGCAAAGCTGTCATATATCTTTGGCATTAAGCTGCATGATGCCCATCTACATAAGAATGTGATTGGTTTTTCATCCCTGATGATTTGAGAAAAAGCCTTCTCATTCTCACAGAATACAAACAAAGCAGGATGAACCAATTCTGCACAGCAGTACAAAACATCTATTTATAAACATCTGAGATCTGCAACCCAATGTTGCAGTGTTTCAGGTTCTCCTAGGAAAAGTGTTTCAACCAGCTATGTCTTTCTCCAGGATACTCAGGTGTAAGGACCTCAAGCACAGCTTTTTATCCCCCTGTTCCAACTTAATTGTCCATTCTTTATTTTGAATGAACACATCTTCTCCACATTTCATGGCCCCTGTTCAATTCTCATCAAGCTATTTGGAGGGAAAGATGCCTTCTTAGTGGATTTGCCTTAGATATTTTTATTTCTACACATCTTGGTGTTCTCCACAGCATCCTGATATCTCACTTCTGTTTCTTGCTCCCAGTGATTGGGTTCCATTTCTGTCAGCATCCATCCCCAGAGTCCGCAGCTAGAAGGTCCCATTGACAGGTCTAAAATGCCAGTTCCCAAGGTTCTGTTGCACTCTGACATCACACCAAACATGGGATTTATGAAAGGATGGGTCTCTGCAAATAGCAATGGCTTCAGTGTCTCCCCTTGAGAGCCACGAGAAAAGACTAGCTGGCTGTAAGATGGGATAACATTGAGGGAATGGCATCCAACCTTTCTTCCAGACCCAGAGGCAAGTCTAACCCTGCTTCTAATGGTGTCTAAAAGCACACTCCTTTACTTTCTCCTAATTAATGCTGTTCATTTACTTGTAGGAGTTAAAAAGGTGAAATAACACACTGCATTTGAGGAAAGAATTGCAGCGGGAATGTACACACACTACTGCTTAGCTAGACTTTGCTGGAAAAGAACCACTTTGTAGAGCAAATAGGTCCCAGGTGAAGAAAACAGTTGCATGGTCTCACTAAGTGGATACTGCCATATTTGAAAAGATACAGGGTGGGCAGAACTAGGAGATTAATAAAATCATACAACATCCCCAGACAGGTTATAGATAAGGAGGAAGAGGGTGCAAAGTTGCTGGTTCTCTTCTCCTCCTCAGCATGAATGAAGGAAATTATATGATTCAGTGAGATTATGCAAAAGTCCAGTAGGGAGGCGGAAAGAATCTTCTAATAATACTGACAAGCTTAGAAGAGTCAGGCATGGGAATCTTTGCATGTATTCCTTCCTCTCTTGCCCTTGAATGGGAGAGAAACACCAACTGCATTCAAATTTCATAACAACCCACGCTCAAGCAATGAGTGTGGGTTGTCATTGCACTGTGGGTTGTTGTTGAAATCTACCCTATCATGTTCCCTAAACCCAGCCAAGATAACAAGAGATGAGGAAGAACCTACATTTCACAGCCCAACAAAAAGCTGTGGGTTCTCTTCATGGGTTATTCATGGTTAACAAGCCATGGCATGTTAGCCCATCAGACAATACAGTAACTAATGTTTCAGGAAGACACCTTTCAACAGAAGAGAGTAACCTTGGAATAATGGCTTCTGCAGAGACTCACTGAGTTACCTGAGTGGTTTTGAAGAGGGTCTGCATGCCACGAGCAAGTAGGAAGCCTTCTCTACCAGACTGAACATTGGTGATATGCTTGAGGCAAATTAAAAGGCCCCTCCGGATTGGAAGGTAACTGTTGGAAGTGTCGTGGTGATGCCAGTCCTGGTACAGACAGAGCAGCTGACAGACATAGCCCCGGTTCACGGCTCGTCGGCTGTTTGACTCTGAAAGCAAAGTGCAATGAGTGACTTGCCAGCTGCTGGGAAGTGTGCAAAAGGGCACACTTCTGTAATTATACATTTGCATACATTTTTTTTAATTTCCAGCTGGCACATGTGCTCAGTTTCAAATATATTAACATAAATGGTATGTAAATTCAACCAGAGAAATTCTATTTTCCATTTCTGTTTTTTACAAGAAACACCCAAATCCAATTTTGTTTGGTCCCTTATGGACTACCTTCTTCTTTCTTAATGGTGGGTCATAATCTGAACACTTACATGGTTTCAGTGTTTGGTTTGCTTCCCAGCATGCACTGCGTCATGGACATTGTAGTCATATATCTGTCTGAATATTTAGTTGCCCTTAAGCTTGCCTCATGGCATGGTTTTGACATTCATGTGGTTGTGTTGATGTGCGAAGGTTGTTATGAGATTCAGGGAGACGGTGATGGGAACAGCACAGAGAAATGACAAGCATAAAAGACTCTGCAGAAATGGACAGCGCTTAATATGATGGTGCTGAAAACATGGAAGAAACTCTGGGGAAACATGCAGCAGTTTTAACAAAAGCACTGCAGATTTTGCTAAAGCTGTCTTAATAGAATTGCACAGTGAATTTCTGCATTTCTTCCATGTTCAACAGCAGCCCTAATTGACAGCATGCCAGTCATTCCTACACCATCCAGTGAGATAGTGCCTGGTTGCAGAAACATCATAAGGGACTCTTTTTTAAAGAAAGGTCAGGCTCATCAAAACCTGTCAGAAATCCAGTAATCAACATAACTAGCAAGCACACTTGCTGGAATAGTAGTCATGGGGTGGCATTCAGAGAGTCTGCCTTGGGTTATAAGTGTTCTATTGCCTACTAAGTTTCTTCCACCCGCTGAGAAGTCTCCAATTCACCCAGAGATTCCCACAAGGGAGGGAGTAGGGTTACTTTCGCTCCATTTCACAGAATCGTAGAACAGTAGAGTTGGAAGGGGCCATGAAGGCTATTGGACAGCAAGTTACACCTGCAACATTGTCAGCCCAGGACCTGTTTCAGAGGTCAAGTCAGCCTTCAGCAGGTAGAGGGTGTGAGGAACGTGATGGAGCAGAGAAAATCTGTTGGGCTTTCATAATTTGCCCCCTCTCTCCAGATTCCAGTTCACTAGCCTTCTGCTGATGCCAACTCACTATGGTTTGATTGATTGATTGATTGATTGATTGATTGATTGATTTCTAACCCACCCCATTAGCCACACAGCTCCCTCCCAGCTGTGTGTATGGTCAGCACATCCCTCAGCCAGGCCCACATGAACTACCCAGGGTCTTTCTTTCTTCTTCCCTTGATGCGACTGCCATAAGGGCTACTGGCTTCATCTGCAAGCCTTACAGAGGCAGGATGGGGAAGCAGCATGTTTTGGAAGCTTTGGAGAAGGCGTTGGCTGCAGGGAGGCACCAGTCTCAATACTCATTCCATTCTCCAGGTATCACCTTCCAGGCATCTGCCAGCCAATGTTGCAAGGAGAACAGCACATTTTCACTTCTCCTGTATGCTTTGCTGACTGCATCCTGCTAATAACTTTGCTCAACTCCTTGGCTTTATGATGGGAGGTGATTCAGGACAGATGACTTGTGCGTTAAGTTGGAGAATTCGCTAGCACAAGATGTAATGCCCACTAACTTAAAAGGCTTTAAAAAATCATCAGACAAATTCATGGAGGACAAGTTGCCACAGCTACCTCTTGTCTCTGGTAGCAGAGACTGTATGCCTTCAATTCCATCTGCTGGGGTACTTTTAAAACTTACTTTTATTGGAAAATTTCAACAAAAGAAAAGAAATGGAGGGAAAAAGTCATTGCACAGGTCTGAACTTACTAATTTCAGTACGTAAACACTCACACACACATGCACCCAAATATGTTATACAAAAGGAGAAAGAGTGAGAGTGAAAGAAGCGTAAAGCTGCACAATTGCAGAGCAACCAGAAACCTGCCTTATACAAAACGGCGAGTTTCTAAGCAATGCACATAAAGATCGACAAAACAGGCCAAATATTCAAATATGTGCAGGAGGCATCTAGGTACCGCCTGTTCAGCTATGGAAAGTGTTGAAAAGCCTTCACTTGACTGCGTTATAGAAGATGAGTGTTTATCCTCCCAGTGATACAGTATCAGTCTTTTAGCTGTCAGAATGGTGAGAATCCATTTGCACTGGTCATGCATCAGCTTCCAGGAAGCAAGTAGATGAGCTTGCACACCCCTCGGGGTGCTCCAATACTACAGTGGGTGTATAATGACCTCTTCCCTAAAAGGGGCAAGCATGGTTGCTGAGCCACATGAACAGAAGGGTTCTATGATGCACATGCCTTGGTTGTGAGCTTCCCTTGGACATCTGATTGGAAACAGGGTGAGAAAAATGGGACATCAAAGATCCAGGACAGGTGACATGTGGCCTTCCAGCTGTTGTTTGACCAGAGGATCCATCATCCCTGTACTGGCCATTTTGATTAGGCCTGGATGAGAGTTGCAGTCCAAAAATGTTTGGAAGGATGTCTGTTACTGATGCGACTTCGCGACTAGCAGCAACAAAATGTTACTGATACCCGAGATGAATCTTCATGTTTTCTCAACAAAAGATCTGTTTAGGTAAAGGAAGGGTGTACACTCTGTGTGTGTCACTCTGCCTCTATCTCACTCTTTCTTTTGCTTCCCAATGAAGACAGCTGAAATTTATTATTATTTTAAAAGATATTTTTAGCAGGCTAAAAATGCTTTTCTGACAAAATACATCCATTCTTATTTGGACTGATGTCATGCTGACATTTCTTTCTTCCCATGGCATAATTCTGACAACTGAAGTTTCTATTCTGATCCTATTCTCCCTCCAAGAGGGAAAAGAGAAAAAAGAAACCTGCAATAAAACATTGTGTTTCAAAATAGTTCTATCCTTAGTTCTGCTGTTTCATTTTTGTCCTTCTTTGTTTGGCTCTTCTAGTTCAGTTTCCCAACTGAGACATACATTATACTTCTTAAATGAGGACTGAAGTATATCCCAGAACAGCAGTATCTGGAGCCGGGCTCAGCTGCCGAGATGCCCCTCATCAGTTCCCCATCATGCCAGTGACCCCAAGGACCCAACCGTTCCATCCACAGGACTGGAAACCTGCGTGGTGGTTGCCTGGGTTCCTGACAAGCTCTAGCAGTCTCTGCCCTCATTGCTGATAACATTCCCCTCGTTCCTGCAGAATCCAATTATGATCTTTAAAAATCCACATATTATCACAACAATGAATAATAAGGGATAGAATCTAGCACTACATGATCTTCACGTAGGTTTTGGCTTGTCATAGTCATAGATGGAAAGTTCCCTGATCAACAGCTTACTAGCTCAAAATTACTGCGTGATTTCTAGGTTTTTAAAAAAATCAAACACCTTTCTTCCTCACACCTTTGGGACAGTCATTTCTGATTTTGCTAACATTCAGAAAACTACTCTGGCTGGTCTCTTTAAACTGCGTGGGGGTTTTTTCCCTCATAGGAACAGTCTGTGCAAATCTGCTTCTTCCTCCCGCCTTACTTTTTTTTGTAACCACCAATCAAATGGCTCCAAAATCCAGTTCAGCTAGCTAATTTCCTTTAAAAGATGCACATGTTTCTAATGCTGCGGAATGCTGATAGTCGGCAGTGACAAATATGACCAACATTAGATTAAAATAACTGGCTGATAAACAAATTACTCACTAAAAATAAATATTGAATTAAGTGTTTTAGAATGCTGGGATAGTTAGGGTAAGAGTGCCATCATGTGGAACCAGAAGAATACAGAATGAAAAGGGTGGTGGGGTGAAACAGCCAGTAAATTCTAAATGAAGGGTATACATAGTTCGAATTCAAGCATACCTAGGTTTTATTCTAGCCTTTAAAATTGCATTGCAATTTTTCTTTATGGTTTTTTTAGTGTGCCTACCATCCAATCCATGTTTACTCAGAAGTAAAAGCCACTGAGTCCAATAGTTCTTATATTCTAGTAAGCGTGTATCAGACCTCAGCTTTTTGCATGTGGAGTGAAGTCTTCAAGCAAATCACAATAAAAAACCCAAAACAGTACAAAATAGCTCTGACATGGTTTTAAGATACACAGACAGACACATGGTGCAATCAGATCCACACAAGCAGCATATAGAGGTGGGTGTTGTGCGTACGTGTAAACATCCTGTAAGATGAGCTAACTTGAAAAATCCTAAGCAGGCGTTCCATTTGGCTTGTGAAACATGAGAGTATCTCCCTTTGAAGTCCCAGATGTAAACATAAGCATGATGTGCTTGCCAAAAGTATCTGTACCATTTCAAAGACACATTTGTGTCTGTTGCTTCCACTCTGATTTGAACACATTTGTCCATTTGTGCAAATTTCCTCACTAGACTGAATCAGCTCCACTTTAGTCTGTTGCTGAAAACTGGGCAAATTTGGAGAACCTTGTGCAACTCTTCCATTGAATCACTGCTCAAATGGCAGAAATTTACCATTTGTAAAACTACTTTGAGTTGCTTGAAAGGAAAAAAGAGAGAGAGATGACACCAATAAATAAATAAATTTGTGCCATGTGAGAAGCAGTGGCAAATGAGAAAGGGAGCTGGGCACAAGACAAGCAACAAGAAAATGTTTGAAGAATCCTAGTGCAAAATGCACTTAGAAACCCCTTTCAGATCTCTGCCCTCCACAGGTGAAGATCGCTAGGAGCAGCCAGGCGCTGAGGGACACAAAGCAGATCTGGTTGAAGGGGGCTTAGAAGTTCTCCAGACTGGCCTTTGTTCCAAAAACAGAAGTGTGACCTCAGGACATCCTAATCCTTGTAGAAATTGGCCCAAACTGTACTGGCACTACTGTGGGTTATATTTTCCCCTTCAAAACACACAGTGACACAGCTGTCTGCTGTCCAGATGATATCTAAATGATGAGAAAGTTCAGGGGGCCCTTCCCCCAGCTTCTTCTGGTTTCTTATTTTCAAATGAAACATGG